TCTGTTCGACCGACACTCTTTTTGACTACGAAAATTCACACAAACCGTATGGTTTTGATTATCAGTGGTTCGACATCGTCATCGTCACGCGAAATAAAACAGTTAACAAATTAGCGTTACTCACGATAGTTCGGCATGCGCCCTATGATTGATTATTTCAGCAGTTGAGCAGTCCGATGTCATTATGATTACTCGAAAATTAATATATACAAAAAATTCGAGTTATTCCCAATAGTACGCGGACCACCGCATGGTTTGGATATTCAAGCGGACTGAAGTAGTCATCGTCACGCGAAAAGCATTTTATAATTAAAATTTCATTATTGGCAATAGTACGGCGTCAAACGCATGGTTTGGGTTGCCAGCGGTCCGACGTCGTCATCGTAACGCGTAAAGTAACATATAATAAAATTCGCATACTCTTAATAGTACGTGAACCACTGCATGGTTCAGATTGTCAGCGGTCCAACGTCGTCATCGTCACGCAGAAAGTAATGTAATCAATTTCGCGTTACTCTCAATAGTTCGGAGTGCGAGGTGTGATTGATTATGTAAGCGGTCGACGCTGTTATGGTCACGCGAAAAGTAATGTACAAAAAATTCGCATATCTTTCAATTGTGTTTGACTAATAAAATCTTATCTAAACCAACGAACTTTAGTCTCAAAAATCAACGGCGCCTTATCCAACTCTCAAATAGCAACTGCTGGTGTCCCCAAGGTAGTGACTTAGCTCCCTTCCTATTCAACGTCTTTACCACTGACCTACCTCTAACCCGAAAACACACTTCTTGGTACGTTTGCGGATGCTACTGCTATTCTTGCTATTGACAACGTTCCCGTCCAAGTTGCCCAAAAAATCCAAAACCATCTAACTGTGCTAAACACCTGGTTTCACGACTGGAAGATCCTAGTTAATCCATATAAATCCTCTCAAATTACCTTCACACTTCGTTCCTTAGAATGTCCCGCAACTTTTATTGTTAATGCTCAAATTCCATCTTCCACGCAAACTAATTATTTAGGTTTAAACTCTTGACAAACGCCTTACATGGGGTCCCCACTTAAAAACAAGCGCCTTACTCCGCTCAAAGCTCTTTGGGGATCARCCAAACCCTCAAATACTAGAACTATACAGGCATTTCAGTCTATTTGTCTACGTCTAATATCAGGTGCCCCTTRGTATATTACCAATRAGGCACTTCATAAAGACATCTRYATTYCAACCTTAAACAGCCTTGCCAATATCACCTACAAAAAAACACATAAAACATTCAATACTCACTCTAATCCTATAATCATCCAACATTCATCCAATCAAATTCCAGGTAATCCACCCAGGCGTCTGAAAAGGAACTGGTGTAGGGACCTACTCTCTCCTTAATTCACTTTCCACGGGGTGCCGTCACTGGGCGACTTCCACTTTCTGCCAATCAATCACCATCACATTTACTTAAATAGCTCAAAACAAATCTACATATTTTGAAAATAGTATAAATTTCAAATGTGAAAATGTAATTTGAATTTCCGGTGGAAATTTTCTTTGTGATAAAGATTGACAAACTTGTAAGGGATCATGTATTAAATATTCAAATCTATGRTTTAAAAAGAAACATTTTAATGAATTTCTAGCTTAAAATAATTTGCGAATTTTTGTGATTTTTACGTATTTTGTCAAAATTCAAAATTTGAATGCTTATAAAAAAAAACTGTGAATTTATTTTATTTTTCAACTGCTATTGTAACATATGTTAAGAGCCTTGTATTAAATTAACAAACATTTCTACCCAATAAATACATTTTTATCGATAATAATTTWAAAAAAAATAATAATGATCGAAAATTGAAAATACCTATGAATAATTCAAATTAAGTAGAACTTTTTTGAAAATTGCATGGTGGATAGAATATACTAATATATACATTCGGTGAAAATTGTATATATCTATAGTCAATTGTTTTAAAGTTACATCAAAAACCAAAATCGATTTTGTCGAAAACTGATTGTGCGTAAAATTTCCAGTTTTTTCCTTAATTTTTAGTTTGTTTAGACGATTATTTAGAATAATATTAAGAATTTTTTACATTTACAATTACCGTGTGTTAATTTCGTTTGTGTCCGATCACAATATCGTTTCATATTGTAGAATTCTATCCCAGGTAACCCAACTAAAAGATTAAAAAGGCAGTGGTGTCGTRACCTACTAGCCTAAGTGAATATATGTACAATAATAACCTAGCCTAAGAAAATTTCACTCATGTCGTAGTACCTCCACTGGGAGGCCTCTACAATCCACCAAATCTGCCATTTTATATATTATTTTTATTTTTATCTTAGCTTCTATCATYAATTGACAATTATTCTTATTGTTCTCCTTTGAAACAGATTGAATAAAACATAATAATACAAAACAAAACAAAAAAAATATTGTAGAATTCTCATGTAAGGTTTGTACTTACAAGTGCAAATATTTTAAGACTAACCAGGTTAGGAAAGTTGACATTTTTTACCACTATTTACTCGTTGTCATATGAGCACATTTTCATCAAAATCATTTTACTGTGTGAGGTAATTATAAAAACATTTTAATTTAATTTTTAACCACACACACATTTTTACTTACCAATTTAGCATAATATTAGGCACAGATATACTTGATATATGTTTGCATTTCCTTGATTACTTCGTAGTCTTAATTTCAAAAATGTAAAATAAGAATTTGTTGACTTAAATAGAAATTACATTGTTTTAGTCAAAGTTTAGTTTAGATAAAACTGTATGTCAAACTCTAAAAAATAATGTTCTTCAAAATTTTTAATGTAGGTCTGAGAGAAGAAATAGAACACAGTTACACACTGACAACCGAGGGCAAAAGTAAAAAAAAAAAAAAAACTATGCAACGCTAAATAGATATTGTGGCACGTTGGTGCGTTGTTAGTAGCGCAGTGGTGTAATTATGAGATTATTTTGTCTTTATGTATTTAATATTTATCTATTAACAGAATTATTATTTCCAAGTAATGAAAATTACTGATGATAATTAAGAAGGCACCACACGGTCATTTTTCGTTTCCCTCTACAAACGTACAACAAATTTTACTTTTATAATAATACATTTTACTCTGTAATTTCTAAAATTAGAGTGAATTTATTTCTTATAAAATCAAATTTCATGGAAGTAAATATATTTCGTTTATCTYTAATTAAGGAGTAAATTAACTTGATTAATATTTATATAGTAATCTACCCAACATTGCCAGAGTGTGAGATACTCAGGTGCAATTGTTGTTTAAATTAATTAAAGCTAAGTTTTTGGTCTATAGATTTTTGCAGAGTAGACATTACCCAGCTTTAAGTACATCACATATTACAGTAGTACAATATTAATATCAGCTAGGTAATAAGGTACCACCCATTTCAGGACACAAGACAATTTAAAATCACAGCATTTTAATTTATTTATTTGGAAGAAGTTGACGACAACTCATATACACGCTGTCAAACGGAAATTGACATTCTATATTTTGAAAGTGTGCAAAATAAGTCAAAGAAAAAAAAAACAATTTCAAAGGGCGTATTTAAACATAATATAGCGTGTGAGAAATAGAAATATATATATATTAGAATATCATACATAGATACTATTATATTCTATTATTAATGTAGACGCATTATAGTTTAAATAATACGAGTATATTATATTCTATTATATTATATATAGGTAATATATTTATAAAACTTACTTTATAATATATACGCTTGAATCTGGTCCTTAACGTTAACGCACAATTTTTATTGTGAATTTTTGTTTTTAATCATTAACAGCATAGAGAAGACAAAGTTTATATAACAGTATACAATATGATGTGTATCGTATAAATTATAAATATCATTTAAGTACTATATCTATATATGTATATGTATATGATAATAAAATTAATAATCGTAAGTAWAAAACGTATATAAATAATAAAAATAATAATAATATGGAACAGTATTGCGTATATATATGCGGTATATTACTCTAAAAGATTAAGAGTGCTATTGGTCTTCCTCAGCTGAGCTCTCCACGGAATGATTTTGGCAAGACCATCATCGCTGTCCGAGTCTTTTGCGTTGTTATTGGAGACTTGTTGCTGTGACTGCGAAGGAACCTGTGGCGCCGTGGATTTTTCATCTGTTGCCGCCACTGATTCATCTTCCACTACCGGCTGATCGTTTTCCTTGTTCTGGCCGTCTGTCGCAGACTCGGCAAACGTCACCTTGGTCATGACACTTGATGGTGGTTTCCCATTGTTCGACAACCTAGGCARACAAAGACTTTCTGTTAGTGAAAATACAACGAAACCACTCGACATTTTTAGTTTCAGATAAGCTATTTACTTCCAATATTTTAACTGACCAACAATATAAAGAYAAAGTTTTGTACACTTTACTTCTACGGTAGTGTCAGTTTTTCTTTGGTTCGTATTCCATACATCATTTCAGTTTTTTAATTTTTCTCAAATTACATACATACATTGTTAGTGATAAAAGTTTACAGTCTATTTTATTTGAGATTTCAAACGTAAACAACAAGGAATATCATTTGGTTTTGTATTATAATTTAATACTGTCATAAAATTTTTCTTAGTGATACCTAACTAATAAGTCAAAAATTATCGGATCGCAGCTGCAAGAGTTTATTTAAAAATTTAAACAGACATTAGCGCTTTAGTTTTATTATTTAGTTAAAAGAATGAGCAACTACTTAAAAATTAGTTKGGCTAAACCGGCTTAAGATTATCTCACATTAACCCTCACCGGAATAATGAACCATATAAATTATATGGTAGTTCACCAACTCCAGACAAATCCTCGGAAACCCATTAACTATGCAACAAGCACTTGGCGAAGATAACTCCAAAAACATATACAATTTTTTCAAAAACATAGGCTTAGCAAAATTAATTTAGAAAAATAATTGAATGTACATATACTCTACAAAATCCCTCTATTGTCAAACATAATGTGTCCCTATAGCTTTAAGATCAATACTCTATGACTACTATTTTGTATTTTGTGTTTACTGCAGGCTAATAACCTCAGGAGTTGAAGCCTTATTTAAGTAAAAAAAAAAAAAAAATTATATGGTCTAAAAACATTCCTGTGCGTTTTTTCATACCGGTTTAGCATAGCGAATTTGTTTAAAGTACTTATTGCATCCCGTGGTAAAAATTCCTAATTATTGTGGGCTATGCCTCATGTTTTTTTTTTACCATACCTATGAATTTCAGCTCATGTTTTCTTTTGAGTACATGCAAATAAAAATAGAAAATATAAAAATAAATATTATATATCATGGAACCTTCCTTAAAACTATCCAAGTTTATTACAAGAGCTATTAAATATTGTAATTTATGTATTAAATAATGATAGAAATAGTTGATTTAGGTAGGTAACTATTTACATACTTCTGTTTTGTAGGTTAGGTTATCATTTATAATCCGTTTGTTTGTCTTGGGGAACAACTGTAATTAATTTTATTGGAAGTATTCCTCGTCAGATTAACTCGGATATAAAATAAGCTCTTTTCAAACTGTTGAAAATGTGATAATGTATCTTGTTTGACGTGTATTATCGGACTCTTTTAATATGGATTAATTTGTAAATTGCGTGGGTATGTAATAAACACTAATATTTTGTTYAATTTATGATTTTTATACCATCAAAAAAATTGTTATCGAAATTGAATTTGTTCAAAGACTGTATATTGACAAATGAACGATGCTTGTTAYATTATTATCTAGTTTAGATTAATTAAAGACAATTAGTTTTTACATTTTAATTTTAATTCACAGRCATAACGAAGTACACCGCACGCGCACACACGACGAGGTARAGACTGGCTACATTTTCAGTGAAAACAACAACAGCTGTACACTCGCGGGAAATCAAACCGTGACGACGACAATTTCTACACCAACCAATTATCTCAATGATTATTGACTAGTAATAATTAGACGCTGACGAAAACGTATAGCTAGTCATTACTTTATTAGACTCAGAAATTTTTCAAAAGCGTACTTGTCGTCTTGTCTCTTGTTTTGCATCAGTTGCCGTTTCCACGGTGGCAAAGATTGCAAACGYTTTTCCTCTGCCTGTCGGGTAAGCTCCTCTTCCATGTCCTTTCGCGCCTTTTCCGCTGCCTTTTTAGCCATCATCTGACGCTTCCACGCGGGTATCATGTTACCGTTGGCGTCCTTTTCTGGGATCTATAAAACAAACATTGACAACATAAATAAATATTCATTTATTACTATTATAGACTACCTCCTGGTTGATATTGTGGTTGTTAATTATTGTTATATATGTTTTTTGGTTATTKCCGTTATTGGTTACAATATAATGTACATACTAAATTAAAATATAAATTCTGAATATAGCTAAACGAATATGTTTCAAATGATAAACGAGTGCATCCTACATTAAACATAATAAAGTATAATTAAWTAGAAACATAAGGTAATTAACRACCGACGAGAATCGCACGAAAAATAACATCATTGCCMGTCTTGATGTCTAACATATAAGGTGAAATCGCGTATAATACATACAGCTTTCAGATATTTTTATGCTTAKAGTGAAATGTGTGTAAATGGAATAGCAATTGAATATTGCATTGGTTTAGTCACGATTATGATTGACGGTATGTGAACAATATATATCAGATTAGCGTATAGGTAACAAAATTAAAAATGTCCTACATATTTTATGTTTTTAATGAACTTAAATCAAGAATTAAAAAGCGTGTATGTCATGGATATCGCTGTTATTGCAAATAAATTTTTAAAAAAAGGTATGAATRAATATTATACGAATCATATTCTTTCCATCTTAATTTATAAAAGTTTACAATCCCTATAAACCATAATCTTCAATCTGGTTTTTTGTTAGATTATATATAAAAAATAATAAGCAATAAAATCGTTTATAGTTAGAAATCAACCTGTTTTTGATTCATACTACTTAATAATTATTAGAACGTGAGTAATTAATATTTTTTAATGTTTATAGTGTAACCATCAAATGTAACGCGATGGAGAATAGACTAAGAGCTACTAGTATTCAGAAATAAGTATTTTTTTATGATACATGCAATTAGAATACTGAATATATTATCAAACTTAATAAATATTGAAATATGTAATTATAGTAATTACCATTTATCCGAAAAAAACTTATACTATAGTAAGGGCGGTAATATTATAGGTTTAATGTAACCAATACAATTTTGAATATGAATATTATAATTCTGCGTATATGTATAAATATAATAAATAAATACTAGTTACATATTATATGATTATATTTACCTGGTCTATGATATTGTCGGGCGACAACTGTTTGGTGATCTCGTTGATCTTTTGTTTTTCGCTCATTTCGTCCATTTTGACTTTTTCCACTTTCATCTTTTTAATGCCGTTAATATCTTTTGACATTTTTAATTCTGCTATCAGATCTTGCCTCTGTGCTTGTAACGGAGGCACAGCACCTAATGAAACACAATAGTAATGAGTAATAGCACACTGCACACAYATCACACGAGTCAGTGAAAGCCGAAGAAATTGTAAACCATTCCCATAAAATTGTTATTGTAATATTCGTCTAATTACACGCGTTGTTATTACATTATCGGACTATATAAATATGATACAGAAACTAATTCGAGTGTATCGCATTCTTCAAAAAATCAATTATTATTATTTATTGTKTATAGAAGTTTATGAATGAATATCGAATTTCTATATAAACGGTATAAGTATGCATTGCATTTGCATATCGATTTTATTTTAAACCGTTTGATGTATATATTTTTTCAATGTTAAGATAAAGTGTCATTAATGAAAATAAATATAATTTAGGCTTAAATTTGACTAAAAACGATGAATAATAGCCTAATTTGCTGTTCAGTAAGTATACAATCTTAAAGAAAATAATTTATCTCTTCGGTAAATTCGACACAATTTTCACCAAAATACTTTCAACTCTATATTATTACATTCATTGGAACAATTATTTTTTTTCAATTATTTAATGATTCATTTCTGAAGTGYTCAAAGTACAAACACAGCTTGATTTTTCGTGTTTAATTTTGTGACTACTAACTATGCGTCAGCTCAGTATTTATAGTTGAATGAAACACCGTTTTAATGTTGGTAATGAAGTTGCATTTTGAAATGAAATAAAGTTACCAGGTCGTAAAAATAATTAAMATTCATCATCAAAACATCATAATACAACACAGACGATTTTACAAACTGAAAAAATTCACAACGCCGTGGGATGTATAAATGTAATTATTATTTAAGATTAAACGTTGAACGAGAAGAATATAATATTAGTCATTCATTTTCAATTACGATTCGTTATATTAATGTCAATATATTCGTATGGTAATATTCCATTTGTGTGATTTATTGAAAAGAAAAAGCTTACGAATGATGGACTTCTAATTTTTAAACTTTTTTTTTGTAAAGTATTCGATGAACTACAAAATAAATAATGAATTTCTAATTCCAAAAAATCTGTTAAGGTAGGTTAGGTTAGRTATCTGTATAAACTTATAGATTAGAATTAKGTTTAAATTTATAAAACCGTAGGCATGAGAAATAAAATTATAATAATTATTGTACTAAAAAATATTTCATTTTCCRGAAAGTCGATTCATTTTCACGAAAAACGTATACGAAAATCAACAATAATTATTATTTACCGGATTGTTTGTCCACGTTGTTGTTGTTGTTCTGCATGATCTTCACGGTGCCCGGCGTCTTCTTGAGCTGTACGCTGTGCAAATCGTGTATGCTGATCGCGGCCAACGGCTGTTGCAGGTGTTGCTGTTGGTGTTGGACGGCCACGGACAGTTCGGACTTGGTTCTGTGCAACGGCGTGTTTGCGGGTCTGACAACTTCGTTCGAGTCACCGGTATTGCCACCCGCACCGCCGCCGACGATGCTCTTCAGGTATTCTGAGGGTTTAATGAGTCCTATGTCATGGACGCCCGTGGCCGGGAACTTTGGCGGAATGAACGCCGCTGGTTGCTGAGGTCCAGTCATCGCCGAGACCAGCGCCCCTCCGCCTTCCGAAGATTCTCCTGCGAAGTATAAGATGTGACTTACCGACCGTGCGTACTTTATCTGATGGTGGTGGCCGATGTGTGCCGTTGGTTAATAGCGCGTGAAGCTTTTTACATTTTTTATTTTCTTCGTACATTATGGGTACACGCTTTTTGCACACACGAGCAAAGCGTGGTACAAAATATGCGATAACGCTCGAGCACAGACACAGGTACTTAATATATTTGATAAATGCGCACACGTCGATAATTGGCGAAAGCCAAGTGAAATCGCTCCGATTTTTATAGGATTATTCTCTTTTAAACTGTATTTAATTAATTTAATTGCACTTGAAACAAGTCAATTAATATACTATGATAAAAATCGCGAATATTAATTAAATATAAAATTAATTAATATATGCTCAAGAACCGGATAGTAGAATATTTGGTTGAATTTTAGAGGGGGTATTAATATTTTTTTCAATTACCTTATAGGTTAATTATTAAAATCGTGGAAACACATCTTTCCACCCTATATCCATGTTTTTATATCATAAATAATATTCTTAATTGTGTATTAACAATAATATATAATATTTGTTTAAAGGACAAATATTACCGTTAATAATAATCATATAAAATATTACAGTCGAGTCGTGATAATGCGAAAAACTTGACAATTGAATTTTATTATATTCTCTTAGAAATTAATTTTGATAAATTCGAGTTAGGTATCTCGAAACAAACCCCCCCCCCCTCTTTCAATTTGACTGTATATCTATTATATAGTTTTTTAATTTCTATAAAATGTCTGTATTTCCGGACGAGGCCAAAGATATAAAACTATTAGCACCCAAAACGACCGACCAAAATTGAATCTAATTTTTTTTTTTTGTTAAGCCCGTGACGAGAACTGATGACGTATCGCGACGTGCGAAATTATATTACCTGCAGCGCGTACTACTTATTCGACGGGTGTATAGTGATAATAATATGATATTATAAAATATTTACTCGGATTGCGGACTGACTGCTGTTGCACGTACACGTACACCTGTCCGTGGAAATCGTTGACAGGCATTGGTGGCGGGGGCGGTGGAGGACACACGCCAGCCGCCGGTTCTGACACCACGCGCTTCAGCGGCGTCCGTTCCTTGTGGTGGTGAACGGCCGCGTGCAGCGGCAGCGTGTGATGGTGRTGTTGGCCCGGCAGCTCCGGGTCCGAGTCTTCGGCCGAATGGCTCACGTCCGAAGGCGAGCCGCTCGACACTCCCGACTCTGTCATTATGCATAAGACATCACGTTTAATTTTAATTTTCATCATACTTTATTATTTTGATATTGTACTTCAGCCGGGGGCGTAGTTTTATGGTGGCTATAATAGGTGAGGTTCAATATGGCACTATTGAGTTTTATTTTAGTTAAATATGAAAATTTGTATCAGTATTCACAGACCTAGCTTTTTGTATTTATGTGTATATATATTTCTCGTAGTTAAGTATATATAATAAATAAATTCATCAAATACGCTTAAAAACTGGAAAATTTTTTTAGTTAAAACAATTAAATATTGAAGTTGTATTTTAAAAAGTTACTTATTTTTAAAAATACCGGTCTTTTTGATATTATTATCAATTGTAACAGTGCCCACATTGTATATGTTTATCAGACAAGATCGAAATGATCAGTGCAGTATGTTTCACCGTGTCTAGCTGTAGACCGATTATTAATTTGTATGGTGTTATGGGTAGACCGTGTAGATAACATTATAATTTTTTAATATAGTATACAATTATAAATTATAATTGAATTATAACGAAAATCCTACTTTTAGATTTTTGAACTTCCTTGAAAGTTGGAACTACTTACAGTAGATGAATATGAAATTTAGTGATAAAATATTAAGATTACGATTACTATTTATAACAGGTAATTAGGTTGAACACGTGTATATCGTAAAGATATAAATACGTAAATAATTTAATATTTTAAAAAATGTATAAAAAATATTATTACTTAAAGAGTATGAAAGTATTATACATTCGATTTGAAATCAGACCTGACATCAGTTGTAAATGATTAAGACWRTTTAATGATAAAATCGCAGAATAGAATAAAATGTTTTATACTAGGTATATTATTATATTGAAATTCCAGAATCCGGGAAAGAAATTTATCAGAGTAAAATAATTGGTTATTAACGCTGTAGGTGGTTTAAATKTTTAAGTGATCCAACTCATGTAGCTGTAGGATATTATAACACACTATAATAGTAATAGCAGTAAAGAATAATTATTATTATACGGATGTACAAAATAAAAACAAAATYGAGTGTTTACTACGAATATTTGCATCACCAGTCTCCAAGTCTTGGCACGAGTATGCTTAGGAACAGTGGCGCCGAAGTCCATGTTTATGTATGGCAGCTGCCATACATATAAAAATTTGGCTGGGGGGTGGGTCTTTAGATGAAAATTAATAGGAATAGRATCACAAATTATTAAGTAATATTGCCCATTGGGCATTGAGAATATTTGGTATTAAACATCAATGTTTTCGTTGAACCCTGAACAATAAACGCTAAATAGTTCATAATAAATAATAAT